GCCACCAGGACATGTCACAAACTCATGGGCAGCCTGTTCCCTTCCCCTGCAGCAGCAGGGAGGTTCTGTGCCATCCATGGGGTGTACACCACAGCAGACTGCCCTGCTGTGCTCCCCAAATGGCTGTCCCATGGTTTAACTTTAAACTCATCCTCAGCTGGGTGCTCTGTGCTCCCCTCCACACAGCCCTGGGGCAGCAGCTCCCTGGCCACAGAGACAAACACAACTTCCCCAGGCATCCTCCTGGGAAAGGCTGGGAGAAGATCAGAGAAAAGAATAAGAAACAATTCTTATCTCCACTTGCTGCACCTGATATTGTGAACATTATGTGTTATGGAGATTTGTTTATCAAAGGGTGGTTTCTTAATTAGCCAATGGTGATGGTGTTTGGACTAAGGGACCAATTAGGTTAACCTGTATCTGTCTATAAAAGAGCAATGAGTCTCTTAATAAAGATTATTATTAATCAGCCTTCTGTAACACATGGAGTCAATGCTAATTGTTACCTGGCTGGGGGCTAATTACCATGACACAGCCCCAGCTGGGAGCAGGGCTGAGGAAGGAGTGCCTGGCTGGGGGTGCCCTCCCAGCAAACAGGAGTGTGCAGGGTGGGAGCAGGAGAGTCCAGATGACCCCAGGTGTTGGAATGGAAGCCCCTCAGAGCACAGGCCCAGAAAGGAATCCAGGCCCAGGGCCTGAACTGAAACCCCAGAGAAACTGAGATACATGAAGCCACAAAGTGGAATAGAAATATAGATTTTAGCTTTTAGTAGAAACTTACACTAAGTGCCTTGAGTGTCTAAAAAGCTGCAGCAGAGAGCAGAGGCCTTTTTGTCCTTAGGCAAATTCTACCATAGTAGTGGTATTTCCATAAAGTTACCCTTCCCCAGACCAAATGTAAATTCAACCTGTTGTTCACATTTTTTAGATAGTGTTCCCATGAACAACAAAAACTGACAGAAATACATACATCGTTCTGAGTAATACTCTAGCAATGTTGAGTGAAATCTTAGACCACTAGAATTAAGACATGATTAGATAAAAAAGCAAAACTAAAACCTTGCATTAAACTCATTAGTTTATAATCATATTTAACCTATACTGCATATGCTAGAGACCCTTCCTGCTCACTCACTACCTCCTTGCCTACTCAAGATCCCACTCAGGAGTTGTTTCACTGCTGCTACCACACCAGAGATAACACTGCATCCCCTTGGAACTCTCACCTTCAGAAGAATACAGAATAAAAACTTGAGTGTGGCACAGCAGCAGCCTGCTCCTTTTACTCTCATCTAGTGTGAATCACAAACCCACAGCCCAGGAAGGTTCTTCCAGGGCACAGGGCAGGACAGGGGCCAGCTGGGCTCCAGAGCTGTCACAGCCCCAGGGGCTGTGGCAGGGCAAGCACAGGAGCTGCCTCCCAGGCAGAGGGGCACACCTGGATCAACACCCCAGTTTTTGGGTTGGAGCTGCAGTGCCCAGCCTCTGCTTCCCCCCTCTGTGCTCCTGCCCACCCTGCCATGATGGAACCTTTGCTTTCCCATCACTTTCTTCCCCTTTTCTTCGCTCCTGTGCCCCAAGGACTCACCCTCATCCCTCCACATTTTCAGCTGCTGGTTCACATTTCCATGGGGTCAGTTCCAGTGGAATACAGGGCACACAGTGACTGATGGCAGAGCTTTGGGGGTGGATGGAGCTTTCTGTGAGTGAAGGACACCTCCCCAAGGGCCAGGGCTGTAGAAGGGTCCTGCTGCCCTGCAGGTGCTGCAGGACAAGGTGTGTGCAGGGAATGGTCACACTGCTCTCAGTACAGGACAATCCTCAGTGTGTACTGCACTAACTGCTGACAGAAGGACTGTGTTGCTCCTTTCCCAGCCCTATTTCCCTTCTTCTCCCTCATAAATGTGTCCCTGAGTGTCCCTTGAGTGCAGGAGAGCCTGATTAGTGAAGTTGTGCTTGTTAGAGCTCCTGCTCCAGGAACAGCCTGTGCTGGCACTGCCACCATGCACAGAGGGCATCACTCCAAGGAGCCAAGGTGGCAGAGGGGACACTCAGGGCTTCCTGGCATTCCCAAAGCACAGCAACTGCCTGGAGATACTCCTGATCCCTCCAGCCTGGCCAAAGGCAAGGGAGTCCCCACCTGCTACTGTCCCTTTGCCACCTGAGTGGCTCAGGCTCTGCAGGGATGGCTGTGGCAGGACAGGATGTGCTGGGTGCCCCAAGGAAATGAGGCTGGAAGGGGAAAGCAGCAGCAGAGTGGAGGACAGCAGCTCCCTTGTGGGCAACTCACCCAAAGAGAGTTTTGGAGGTTATGGTGCTCCAAGCAGAAGGTTTCAGGTTTTTTGATGTCTCCTGTCACTGGAGAGGCACTGCAGCCTGAGACAGCCATGGGACAAACCAGGCACAGGATGTGTGGGACTCTCACCAGGGAAAGGGAAATCATGAGGCACGAGCTTCTGCTGACTCAGGTTTGTTGTAATCTTTGCTGCAGCGTTGTTCTTGCTTCTCTGCTGGGGCTCTTCTTCTATCTTTTCAGGGGCTCTTCTTGGGTTCTTGACCCACCCCTATTTATCTCAGTTACTCTCACGAGCTACAGCTGTTGCCTAACTAAGGACTCTGCAGCTGCAGCTCGTTTGGAGTAACCCAGACACACACTGATCTCACAATACAACATGTATTCAGGCCCCCACACAGGTTTATTAAATTAATCTAAAATCCACCAAGAGCTCTGCTTGCTTTAATGCTGCATTTTTGTAGAAGAAATGATTTGCCAAAAATACCCTCTGAGGCTCTCAGCTTTAGTGCAGTGATTGAGCTGGAGCAGTGACCAGTGTCACCAGGAGCCTCTCCTCACCTGCTGCAGCCACCTGCCCCTGTCCCTGTCCTCTGCTCCACTGTCACCTGCTGTCCATCTTAACTGCCCTTTGCTCCTAGGGAAAAACATCCCCACGCTCCAAAAATGCACTGGGACTCTGCTTATTCACCACTGAACATGGATTTATGGCTTTGCAACAAAGAGCAATAAATTACTGCTCTGCAGTGTCCCCAGGGCTTGTCAGAGTCCCCTGTCACCGCTGTCCCCAGATAAGGCTCCCAGGGAAAACAGGACAAATTTACTCCCCCACAAATAAAGGTGCTGCTTCCCATTGCAAATGGAAAGCAGGGTTATAAAAGCAAGCTGTGAAATAAGGAGCCATCATTCTCTGTCATGGTTAAGGAGAGGGAGATCTTGTCTCTCCTGCCTCTGCTGGTGCTCCCTACTCTCCAGCCACGAGGGTTTTGGGGCTCTCAGCTCTCCCTTGTGCAGAGATGGGGTCAGAATTGAGAGCATCAACCCCTTCTTTCCATGGCTGAGAAACTGAGGATTCACTGGGGTTTTCCCCCTTGCCTTGGAGCTGCTGAAGGCCCCACTCTTGTGGGGTCAGGGAGATGATGGCACGCTCAGCTGGCCCTCTCTAGAGCCACTTGGTGTCCCTTTGCTGCCTTCCACCCCTTCCCCTCCTCCTCCTCTCTGCTCAGCCTCCCACTTGTCCCCTGTCCCCAGCCTGACCTGTGCTCAGAGCTCAGTGGCCTCTCTGAGTTCAACTCAAAACACTCATTTAGGAATTATTGCAATCTCTCTGAAGACAATCGAGCCCATTTAAATCCCAGCTCATTTTCTTAAGTCTGTTTTAACTCAGATAGCCCTTGAAGGAGGTATTAATATATCAAAAGGAAACCATTCAGCTGAAGATTTTTGCTCCTCTAGCTGGCCACTTTCCTTCCTCTCTCACCACTTCCCTCCCCTTCTAGCAAAGCTCTGACACTCACAGCCCAAAGAGAAGTGAGGATTTTTAACTCCTTCCATGCCCTCAGGGATAAATCACTGAATAGACTCAACCTTGCTGCAGTTCTGAAGGTGAAAACCACCAAGCACAGGGGGGTTATTGGAGTATCCTGTGCAGGGCTCCATGATCCCTGAGGGTCCCTTCCTGCACATTCCATGATTCTGGCACCGCTTGGATCCTCCCAGGATTAGCCTGAGATCCCTGTGGCACTGCATTTAATCCCACTCACAAATAATTTCCACATCTGGAGGCCACAGAAGCCACCAGAGATGCACCTGTGGGAGGAGCAGGAGGTTCCAGAGGAGCATTTCGGCTCGGGCAGGACCCCCAGGAGCCACCCTGAGCACAGCTGGGCTCTCCAAGGGGATCAGGGGGAAAATCAGCCCATGGGATTCACCACATGGAGCCTGCTGACAGGACACAGTGGTTTATTTTCCCTGGTCTCTGATTAGGAGTAGAGTGCAGCTCCTCAGCATTTAGGAATCATCAAACCCAAGGAAATGCTGACTTCTGGGTTTTTTCTCTCTTAAGCCATTCATATTCCTACCCTCAGGATCTATTTATCCTACAGCTTACTCATGGTCATTCTCATGGAGTCACAGGAGGGGTTTAAGGAACAACAGAAATTC